GAAATGAAGGCAACACCTTGAACTCTTTGTCATGTTCCTCAAACCATAGGTGGTACATGCCAAAGTAATGTCCACATGAATTGAGGAACCCAAGGTTTCCCAGCAAAACATTGCCCAGAGCACAACGCTGACTCCACCGGCCTGCCTTTTTCCCATAGTGCATCCTGCTGCAATCTCTTTCCTAGGTAAACGACACACATGCATCCAGCCATCTACCTGATCTAAATGAAAATGTGATACACGGACCAGGCAACTTTCTTACATTGCTTTATGGTCCAGTTCTGAAGCCCATGTCCCCATAAAGGCATTTTCGGTTGTGGACAGGGGTCATCATGGGCACTCTGACAGGTCTGTACACAGCCCTATATGCAGCAATTTGAGCTACAGCAGCTCTTCTGTATGATCAGACAAAAGCCTTCCCTCCCCACATGCATAAATGAGCCTTGCACCACCTATGGTAGATAGGCATGTGCATGGGGAAAATATACCTGAGCGGTGGGTGGAAGCCCTAAACTAGAATAAGGGGGGGCCTATTGTCCACCCCCCTGGCCCCCACCCCTGAGCGGCGGGTGTGGGCCCTAAATACAAATTGGGGGGACCTAATGTCCTCCAGCTGGCCCCCACCCCTGAGCGGCAGGTGTGGGCCCTAAATACAAATACAAAAAATTAACCCCTACCTACCCCCTCACCCTAAAAATAATGAGGGGGGACCTTTAACTAAGTACCTGTAAAAATAAACTTACCATTTGATGTTTTCTTTCTTCTAAAATTCCCAGATTTTACTAATAACATGACGTCATGATTTTATTAATGACACGGAGGCGAGTATTATGCTATCTCTTTCTTACTTTATTCCTCAGCAGCAAAGAGAAATATAAAACTGAAAGAGAAAAAATGTAGATATGCAATATAATAACAGGTACAACCAGATCTGCCTAGTAACAGGGCAGTCAATCAGCTTAGTTGGAACAGTCCATAAATGCCTTGCTTAGTACTTCCACTTCCTCTTCTTTGCCTTCTGAACCGAAGACCCAAACCAAACTTCCACATCAGGAAAGAACAATCTCCAACAAGGTAGACGTCATCTTAACGAAATCAAGCTGTAAAACAGAGAAAAGGTAGGTAAAATCCAAACTCCGGACCTGCATGTAACATTTCATGACAATCTGGCCTGCAGGACTAAAAAACGTCAAATCGGAACCACATAAGTACATAGATCCAAATAAGTCAGAGAAAAACTGTGAACACTTACCTTGAGGTAAAAGAGCCCCCACCCGATTGAACCATAAGTATAGACCCAAACCATACCCACTGGGTGGGAGGGTGGGAATAATACTCGCCTCCGTGTCATTAATAAAATCATGACTTTACGTCATGTTATTAGTAAAATCTGGGAATTTTATTAATGACACAGAGGCTCCTATTATGCTAGTTTAAAGCTGAGCCATAACTAACGAGGAAACATGGTCAATCGGGCGGAAATAAAAATCGAGGAATGTAGATTCTCTAGACCAATCTGCTGCCTTCAGGATATCATCCAGACAACATCCCATCGTGGAGGCCTTAGACGCCATGGCGCCTCTGACCGAATGAGCCGAAAATATTGAAGTGTCAATTCCTGCAGCGGATAAAAGGTTGTTAATCCAACGAGCTAACGTAGTCGAGGAGATCGGGAGAAACGGTTTCTTAAATGAAATAAACAATTGGGATAAATCCGATGACCTCAATAGGTGAGTGCGATCCAAGTACACCTGTAGGCAAGCTACCGGACGCAGAGCAGGTCGGACTGAACACCTAGGGTAGGTCACTGACTTAGAAGACGTCTTCATCCTTCTAGAGATGTTAAACGACACTCCCTCGGGGGTGAAGGATAACGCGTTCCAGTCCAAAGCCCTGACATCTGAAACCATTTTGCATGAAAGGAGACACAGGAGCATAACCAATTTCCAGGATAATTGCTTCAGTGACAGGTCCTCATTAGGAGGCCATGATTCCAAGAAGTCCAGCACCACGTTAACATCCCAAAACGATGAATATCTGGATTTCGGAGGCCTAGAGTAATGAATACCCTTCAACAAACGGCACACGAAAGGATGTTGTCCAATCGGTGATCCATCAATACCTAGATGTCCGGCTGAAATGGCCGATCTATAAACATTGATAGTGCGATAGGCCAAACCAGATTCACAACGCGTATTCAGAAAATTGAGCACCTCCTTCAGAGGGGCAGAAAGGGGATCCAGCAGTCTCCCCACGCACCAGCCAGACCACACACACGCCATGCAGCCTTGTAAGCTGTTCTGGTACCGGTGCCCAGGCATTCTCCAGGAGTCTTGTAGTAGCCTGCGGAACGTCCGAGACACACCAGGATCACCGGAAATGAACCAAGCTGTGAGCTGGAGCAGGTTCTGGGCCACTAAGTCGTGCGAGTTCCCATCCGGATCCAGAAGCACCTCTGATCGCATCCTGATCATCCGTGGGCACTCCGTCGCCATATCCAAAAGACGTGGAAACCAAGGCTGAGTCTGCCATAGGGGAACTATCACCACCAACGTGCATTCTTGTCCAGACAAGTATGCCAGTGTCCGAGAGATCAGGTTGAAAGGGGGAAACGCAAAGTGACGACCCCGAGGCCATATCTGCAGGAACGCATCCACCGCCGTGGCTGATGGATCCGATCTCCAACTGAAGTATTGGGGTGGTTGAGCGTTCAGTCTGGATGCGAACAAGTCCAGTTGTAACGGGTCCCATAGTCGATCTGTCGGAAGATCGAAGGTAACAGATGCCAATCTCCGGAGTCTTTCAAGTATCACGAATTCCAGTCTGCCCATTCGTTGTCCAAACCCGGGATGTGTTCGGTCGTGACCTACACCGCGCTGTGGAGGCAGAACTGCCAGAAATCCTTCGCTAGATTCGCCAGTTATTTTGACTTCGTGCCACCTAGGTGATTTATATATCTGACCGCGGACACATTGTCCATACGCAGAAGGACGCAGCAGTTTCCCAGGGTTGGAGACAGGCTGCGAATAGCGAACGATCCCGCCAGCAATTCCAGACAGTTGATGTGTAGCTTTGATTCAATTTCAGACCATCTGGCACCTGTGGAGACATCTCCACAGTGAGCACCCCAGCCATGCAGGCTGGCATCCGATTCTATCACCATGTCCGGGGCGGTGCCGAAGATTGCTCGACCATTCCATGCCTCCATATGATCCAACCACCATCGAAGTTCCTCCTTGGAGTCTCTGTCCAGGCATAGTTCGCTTTCGTACGAACTGCCCGAGCGAAGGTGGGATCCTTTCAGACGTTGTAGGGCCCGATAATGTAGGGGTCCCGGAAATATTGCCTGAATAGAGGAGGCCAAAAGACCAATGACCCTCACCAATTGTCATACGGAGAGACTGGTGGTCCGTAGAGTACGTCTTATTTCTTTCTTGATAGCCTTTAGCTTGGTCTCTGGAAGGAACAGAAACTGGGCGACCGAATCGACTTCGAAACCCAGAAATTCTATTTTCTGCGATGGGGTCACCATGGACTTTTCCCAATTTATGAGAAAACCTAAGCTCTCCAGAAGATCCACCGTCCAGCTCAGGTGTTTTAGAAGTTGGTCGGGGGACGCGGACATAACCAGTATGTCGTCCAGGTAGATAATCATGCGTATGCCCCATGACCTGAGGAACGCCACAACCGGCTTCATCACCTTCGTGAAGCACCAAGGTGCTGAAGAGAGACCGAAGGGCAGACAGGTAAACCTCCACTGCTGTCCTTACCACGTAAAGTGCAATAAGTCCCAGTGTACCTCTGCCATAGGTATAGTCAGGTATGCGTCCTTGAGGTCTAGCTTGACCATCCAATCCCCTTGCCGAAGCAGATCTCTGAGGCAATGTATGCCCTCCATCTTGAAGTGATGGTAACGAAGGAATCCGTTGAGTCGCTTGAGATTGATCACCGGCTGAACACCTCCGCCTTTCTTGGCAACGAGGAACAGGTTGCTTAGAAATCCCGGATGATCGTACGGGACTTCTTGTATTGCCCGTTTGGCCAGAAGTTCCGAGATCTCCTTGGTAATCAGCCCGGACTGATCTTCCGGCAACCTCAGTTCCTGAGGTGAGTCCACCTGGATAGGGGGAGACAAAAGATCTAGGCGAAAGCCTCTGATAGTATTTAACACCCACACATCCGTGGTGATCATGCCCCACATGTCGAGAAACAAAGCTAACCTGCCTCCCACACTCGCCCGGAGAGAAAAACCTTTTTGAGTACTCACTGTAAGGGCGTCTGTATGAGGGTTGGCCACGTCCTCCCCGATTCTGCCATGTCCTCCCGCGGGAGGGAAAGAAGGGAGCGGGTTTGTAGTCCAGATAGGCCCAAGGGGCAGCAAAGGAACCTCTTTGAGTCCGTGAGGGACCTCGATTTCCATGGCCGAGCGGACGGCTCCTATACCTCCCGGCCCTGTTTAAAACCTTTGGACCAAAAACTCTCTTAAGGTTGGATTGGGCCTTATCTAGGGCGGTGAAGGTGCACACAAAAGAGCCCAAGTCTTTAACAATAGACTCACCAAAGAGCATGCTTTTAGCGGCAGCGCCCGGTTCCTTGACCGCAAGGTTAACCAGTTAAGTTTGATTTTAAGCAGGATCGCCTTGCGGCGTTCGGCTGACTTAGCCGTGTTAGCATTGCCAAGTAGGCAAATCAATCTCTGGACCCAACCTATTGCTACATCGAAATCAAGGGGGGTATCCCCTGTTTTAGCCGTCTCCAATAGCTCATAAAACTTAGTCACGGGACCTAGAGTGTCCAAAATCTTGTCCTGGCAATTATGGTGTGAAAACTCCAAACCCTTTCTGGGTTTCCAGACCATTTTTGTCAGGAACTGTGAGATCTGAGGGTCAACCTCTGGCATCTTACACGCCGCATCAGGCACTGAGGGCCGTGGGCATTCGGCCCGTAACTTACTGCGCCCCTCCTTGGATAAGGGGGTACGCATACTAAGCGCTAGATAGCTAGCTATATGCTCGGGTCGGGTCCCATTCCGCCGAGCGAGGGTGGCGAAGGTCATCAGGATCGAACAGGGGGTAACCCTGCGGATCGCATATGCCTTGTTCCTCACTCGGAGGTAACGCCGAAGCGTCAGACCCCGCCTCCGCGTCGGAGTCCCCTTCCTCATAAGAGGTGTAGTCGGTGGTGTCCGAACCTATCTCCCCACTTGGATCGGAATTAGACGCGTCATTGTCATGGACACGCGCCCTTTTCCCCTTTCTGGTCGATTTTGCCCGGCCAGCGGCTCTGTTGCGCGGTAACGCGCCATCTTGGACGGCCATAGGCACGTCAGTCAGGGCAGGTACTACCTGTGCCATATCGGGGGAGACATGCTTAGTTTTGGCATATGCCTTGCGGCTGACCTGAGTTTGCAGCGCAGGCAGGGGGCTTGCCAACATAGGAGAAGCCAGGGGCTGAGTCAGGGCCTGTTGGATAGTGTGAGACAGTGATGATGAGACTGTCCCCATGGCAGAGGCCAGGGCCCTCTGCATAGTAGAATCAATAAGGGCCTGGAACTCCTGAGTGGGGGTGAGTCCCCCTTTCACTTGAGATAGGGGCCTGAAAGGCTTCCATGGTGGGGTAGCTGGGGCAGCCAGAATCATCACCCTTAGCCTGCATGATAGACAGGAGGGCAAATAAGCTTGTGGTTAAAAAGGGGGTATGTCCCTTTAAATATACGCAGATAAAATATTAAGCCACAATAAATATTATGGGAGCCAGGCCACCAGTCTCAGAATACAATGCTATAACAGTATGATGGAGTAAAAACCTAAACTACAGAACAGGGGTTGAGTAACCCACAAAGCAAATACCTGTGGAGAAAAAACAAGGGTAAAGGAAGCCGACCGCCGGATCCGCCAGCAGCCACGTGTGTGAAAGAAGATGGCCACCGCGTGCAGAGCATGCTGCGGCCCCAAGCTCCTCCCCCGCCAATGGCCGGGGAGCTCGCTGGAAAAACACACGTGGCTGGAGGTAGAGCAGGTCGCCGCACGCGGTCGCGAGGGGAGGAGGGAGGGCGGTCAGGTAGCACAGCAGCTCCCGAGAAAAAGGCTTTCCCAGTGATCCGCGGTCCCTGTCTGTGCACACAAAAGGTACTGCACAGGCAGGGAGACCGTGCAAAGCAGGGGAAGAAACAGACACCCAAAAGGGGTGTCAAAAAACATCAAAGCAAAACACAGAAATCATATAGGGTGCACAAAGCAGCATACAAGTACATAATACATTAAATATTATCAGTAAATAAACCCATAAAAACAATCCAAGATCAAAATATACAGGAGTGAAATTAATACTTAGCTGGTCTGAGGACAGCAGCAAAGAAAGAGGAAGTGGAAGTACTAAGCAAGGCATTTATGGACTGTTCCTACTAAGCTGATTGGCTGCCCTGTTACTAGGCAGATCTGGTTGTACCTGTTATTATATTGCATATCTACATTTTTTCTCTTTCAGTTTTATATTTCTCTTTGCTGCTGAGGAATAAAGTAAGAAAGAGATAGCATAATACTCGCCTCCGTGTCATTAATAAAATCTTATTTTTTCAGCCCTAAAAAAGGCCAAATAAAAATCCATAATAACCGACGCAATTAAAAAAGAAAAAAAAAACCCATGCGCAAAAAAAAAATCCATCTTCACCCGGCGAGTGCTCTGACAGGTAAATGAAGAAACTGACAGTTAAGTCTCTACATTTACCTGTCACAGCACTCTGGTTGGTTTGAAATCCACCAATCAGAGTGCTCTGTGTCATTTCTTTGGAATTTTCCCACGCTATGTAATTTGACTCATAACATTCTGATTGGTGGATTAAGATTTTTTTATTAAGCATGACAACATCTCTCATTACGACGCTTGTTTAATTTTATGTACTTAACCCGAATTTACTGTTTAATCTTATTATATTATTATATCTATAAAAAAAGGTGCCTTGTCATAGAATTACTAATGCACACCTATTATAGCCACTGTACAGCTAAACTATAATGTAATACCTTGTCCTTGCTATGCACCATCAAAATAAAGAATTTCAACAAAAAAAAAACATCTTTGCCAACACCGTATTGGCACTGTACTCTGTAGAACAAAACATAATTACAATGCCATTTATACTGGCAACATTTTAATGTTGCCGCTTGGGTTAGGTATGTAGTGAAATTATTATTAGAGCTAAGATGCTATCAGGGCTTGGAGGTGATTAAAGTAAGGAGATAGTTAGTGATATGGGGTATTTACAGGTTAGGAGACTATCCATCATATATTTAAATCATTTAGGGCAGGCGCTCAGATTGATGGGGATGTATAGTCCATGGAATCTTCAATGTCCTAAGTGGTTGGGCAGCGAACCACTGTAATCAAACAGCACTCTAAGAATGTTGGGTTATGGGGCACCCACTACTGTACAAAGAGCAGTGAATAGAGATGCACTACTATGAATGTATTAACAGTCAAAATATTAAACTCATGATTTTAAAATCATTTGCTGGTAGAATATTGTTTTGTACAACCTTTAATGTAACAAATGCTGTTATTATGATAAGAAAAAAGAATAGAGAGAAAACACAAAGCCACGGGCATTATATCAGCATTCTCGCAAGGAAATTGTGTTACTTTACTTAATTAAAGCAAATAAACTGAACTGGGAAAGACAAACATTTATTTCAATGCATGGGTTAATTTGCATATGTGCTAATTAATGCATGTATGCTAATAAGCCTCTATTTAAATACATCAACCTTCAGCCTCTCATAATCTCCATAGCAACCCAGGCACAATTAACCCTTCTTTGGTTAGAGAAGCATAACATTTTTTTTGCTCTGCAATCCATGGCAATAAGATGTTTAGCATTTTTCTGTTTGTTTATCGGTTTACTTTGCTTAGCATAACGAACTTCGCAAAAGATAAAATTGCACTTATGAAGGACATGTATTGTATTTACTAAAATTGGTCATTTTAAGTAGGACTTTCTTTTAGTATATGCATTGTTCCTGCATTGTTCCTGTAATCTGGATTTTTCACATATTTTGGTGTTTACACCATCACCACTATTGAGAAATCCTTCCTCCTAATGTGACTTCAGGAAAGCCTATATTTGAGGAGAGTCTCTGGAAGCAGTTTTTAAGAATTGCAGGTTAGTCTGTGTATCTCTCATCGGGATCCACTAATGATACTAGGGGCACATTGAAACAGTGGTGAACTTGAACACAGTATGGTCATATTAGGACTAGTGATGTCCCGAACGGTTCGAACGGTTCGCCTCCCTCCCAGACCCTCCCACCTCCTGGACAGCATCCATTTTACATTCATTGTGAAGCTGCATTCTTAGTGAGCTGTCCAGGAGGTGGGAGGGTCTGCTGCTGATTGGCTGGAATGTGTCTGCTGACTGTGAGGTACAGGGTCAAAGTTTACTCAATGATGAGTCCACGGCGAACCCTTCGTGGCGAACCCTTCGCGAACCGTTTTCCTAATATCTTATTTAGTTAGCCTTATAAGATTTAAAACTGTATTTTGTGTGTGCACTGTTCCCTTAACCTATATTTTTCATATATTTTAGTCTTTACAGCAGCTGTTCCAAGTGTGCCCCCAGTTCACTTTGGGTGGGGGGCACATGTATGAAGTGTAAAACGTACATAAAGTATATTATGCAAATTCTCCCTTTACTATGGATTAAAGACATATGTTATCGTATTGCAATATCTGAGGCACTCACAAATTATCCCCATATGTTTTCATTTTGCTCTCAGTATAATTGTGTTTTCAAACATTTACCTCAAAATGTATAGTGCTATTGAAAACAGACTTATATTTTCCACAATTCCCTGTCCCCAACCCCTCCCCCCCCCACCCGCCCACATAGCGTGTAAATAAGTGCAATGAATATATTAACTGGACATTGCAGGCCTAAAAACATCAAAAAAACATTTTCATATTTGACACATATATAAATGTATGTATGTGCATACCCCCGCCCCATTCCCCCCCGAAAAATAGAATCTTTACTTGTGTGTCCGTTAATCCATCTATTTTTTACTCCCTTTGTGTTTTTTCTATCCTCTCTGAATGTTTTACCCCCTGAAGTATATCTTATCCCTTACTCCCCCCAGCCCCTTTGTGTGTCTCTTTCTACCCCAGCTCCTTTGTGTGTCTCTTACTTCACTCAATCCCTTTGTGTGTATCTTTCTCTCCGGCCTCCCTGAGTGTTTCTTCCCCTCTTCCAAAACCTTTGTGTTTCTCTTTCTTCCCTTCCCCAGCCCCTTATGTCTTTCTTTTTCTTTCCTCACCTTCTCTGTGCATTGTTTCTCCACCAGACTCTCAGTATGTCTGGTGGATCCAGGTGGTAGCATCAGGACAAATGCTCCCCACGAGCAGCCAGGTGTATTTACAGTTAAAGGATGAACAGGTAATATTGCAGGCTGTTCCAGAGCATTAGATATCACCTGCAATAAGTGTTGTGAGAAGCTGGTCTCCATGCCTGCACAGTCCAACTCCTTCACAGTGCAGTACAAGAGGAGTCTTACTGGGAAATGACATGGTAAGTCTGTTGTCCACTTCCTCAAGAAAACTTCCTCATGCATTATGCAGTATTGGAGTTGCCCTGTTCTAGTAGAAAAGAACACTACAGTGTGGCTCATAGTTGTCAGTAGAAGTGGACCCTTTAGTACACTTTATAGATGTACCTTGGTTGCTCATGATGTTCTCATGTTTAGTGCACTGGTAGTCCATCTCCCAACATGGTCCCCAACTGATGTAGCATACATGAATTGCTTATATACTTTGATTTATTGGCTTTCAATAGAATTTGATTTAATCTGTATGAGTGGGGGTTTTATAACGGCAATGTTTCATGTCTCTCACTGACTTTGTATTGCGTTTTTACAGTTGTGTTCTTGAACTTTCTGTTTCAATAAACATTTATTAAAAACAAAGCAACATGCCCTTTCCATATCAATGTAACTGACAGCCAGGTGAGTGAATAACCAAACTAATGCCAGTGTATGGCAGGACTTGGCCTGATGCAATCTACTGCCCCTGTGTCCTTTCAGAATATTAAATACCAATATGGATTTACACAGACATGAATAAAAGTGAGATGCCAAGTTGAGATTCTGTAATGATGATCAGAACATACAGTTGCCAGAGCCCCGTGGTTAATGTTGCTTAAACATGAAGTATATAGATTGTTGCTATCTCCATTTCTGGTTGCTTAAGGTCCTCCATTTTGGGTTTCATCCAACACAAGACAAAATGTTTCATCCTTCGGTCATGCTGTAAAGTGATTAGAGTAGCCTCT